CCCCCCCCCCCCCCCCCCCCTGCCCTGACGAATGAATACAGCTGATAAGATATTGCTGGAAAAAAAAACATAGTACCACCCCTCGGAATTTGTAATATGTGAGCCCGTTGGCATGGCAACAAGGCACACATTCCCCCCTTTTCAGGTCTTATGTGGTTTTACGGTTCCTGAGAAGTTTTAAATCTGGCACTTATATGGTATTTTTCATTCTTCTGGTTCGATGATAAACGTTTAAATGCCTTTCCAGTCTTGTTGATCTGGTTTTGGGCTACAGAGCGGTGCTCTTAATTGTAAACCCACGACACTGGTTTATGGAAGGCCCCACCAGAAGTGTCATGAGGGTGTGGTGTAGGACATGCCCCCCTTGTTTGCACTGGGTTTGGATACCGACTCGGACCCTGAGCCCTGAGGCCTTTCAGAGCTGGAGCAACTGAACGATGAAGTGACACAGCCTCTCCCCAAAGCAGGGCATTATTTACGTCCAGTGGCCATTGGCTAGCCTACTCTTATGCATTATGGGAGTGCATATTAATGTAGGGCAGGTTACGCGTAGCTTTACTGTGCTGAAGGACGGAGGGGGAAAAGGTTTAGCTAGTACCTGCCAACCCTGAGACAAACTGCCTGGTTTTACAGGTAACCAGGATGTTAAACTGCCTGACAAATGAGTCCGCGCCTTTGGCTTGTTTGCAATGTCCTCCCCCCACCCTATTACCGATTGGCTAATTTTTAGAGCTGACCGCTGGTCTGTCCTGTCACAGTTTGAGAAACACTATTCACTCACACCTACAGTATTCTCCTGTGTTTGTTGAAAAGTCCTCAGCAAATAGATGAATGATGCAGGTAAACCTCATTTCTTGGTCAGCACATCTGCAAGTCACCTTCATTTTTAATTTAATGTCAGCCCAGATTACCTCCCGATACTCTTGGGATCTTAGTATCCTTCCATGTCTTTACAGACACTGCTATATAATCTTTGGATATTATTCTAAAGGCTTGTATTTATTGGTGGTTTTGTTTGGTGCGGTTGACCGTACCCCATATTAAAGCTGTATTTTAATAGGTAATTATACTTTTGTCCTTGATCCTAAGCACACCTCGCCCTGCCCGTGTCGTGTAGGGCAGCCTGGAGCAGTGGTGGCGCTGGCTGTCAGGGCGTGCGCGAGCGGCTGCAGTGACTTCGCCCCTCGCGGCGAGTTTGCTGCCGCGTGCCGTTACCAAGCGTATTAAATGCGAAATGATGTAATTCGGGTTTTAGTAGGGAGGGAAGCCTTCACAGGGGATGTGGGTGGAGGGCCTTTCTGTGGCGCTTTTTAGTGCCTTTAGTCATTTATGCTTCTGGGAAAGCACGATTATTATTATTACAATGAATGGTTTATTGTTCTGAATTTATTTTCGCACTTTCTGTGCTTTCAGTTCCTTGCGCTTGCAAGAATTGCCGGTTTCCTGGCTGCTGTTGTTATAGTAATTATAATGCGAGTAATAGTAAGCATCTGTTGTGGTTATTTTCTTCGCCGCCTGCTGTGTCCTGATACGGGTGGGTCCCCGCAAGCTGTGCGCCGCCAGCCGGTGTCCTGGTGCCCGAGCGGGACAGCTTTTACCGACGCTCATTACGCGGCGCTGATCTCATCCCTGACGCCGCGGGGACGTTAACCTGCCAGCTCGCGAGTGCCGCTCGCGCTCGCCGTCCCGCCTGCACGTGAAACAGCTCCCGCATTAATTCCTGCCCATCTGCTCGTTAATGGCTGCCCTGGATGATGCAGCGAGCTGATAACGATGACGCACGCCTCCAGAAGTTTGTCTGCCTTATGTATTTCCTCCTTATGTCTTGTATGCATGGTTATATGTCTGGTTTTTATTTTGACTTTCCTGAAGGACGTGCGGGATTTTTTTTTTCCAGTTTAGCCGCATATTCTGTCGTTTCATTCACTTTTTTTCCCCGTTCGTACGCCGACGCCGATATTCACAGTGATGTGTGGCGATCTTCTATCTATTATCCTTAAAAGGGAAAAAAATGACTACCTTTCTGTCTCTAACCCTGAGTTTCCAGCAGGGAGCGATTAATCACGTTACAGGCCTGCGATAAACAAGGGAGACTGGGATCTTTGTAAACACTCTCCCACATGTAAATACCTCCCTCCAGCAAACATGTTTATTCACTTACATGCATCATCAGATGCGAGCAGCGATATAACACTCTACGCTGTTGTCATTTCCATACTTTGGCTCAGGTCTGCTGTGATTGATTCCAAGGTCTGTCCGTTCTTTGGGGTGGTGGGATCACAGATGGCCCGAAAAGTACCCCCCCTACCTGTGTTCTCCCAGCTGCAACCTAAACAAAGGCCATAGCTGCCTGTGTGGAAGTTTTGTGTAGGTTAACTGGTAAAGAATTGACTAAGTGTGGCACAGGAATGGGCGGTATTAGATTTTTCGGGAACGGGGGGGCTCATCATTGTCTCTCCATACTGCCACCAACCAGGGCAGAAGGTAGCCAGCATGTAGCCCAAGGATCCAGTAATCCTAGAGAAATTCAACACCCTGACGGTTGGGCCCTTTCTGTCTGTTGGCCTTTTATTCGCAGATACTTGGGCGATTAGGGTAGGATTAGCCGCTAATCTCCTGTCCGTCTGTCCATGTCCGTCCAACATACGGCGTTGATTAATGAATCAAGTAATAAAAGAAAAGGCTACAGTGAATTGAGCTTCTGAGTTTGAATGCAAGATATCTTACTCATCTCTGCAGATTGGCTTAACTGAAGTGAGTAGCACGGGCTGTAATTTTAAAATCGCTGGATCTCTTCTGAAGCAGTGATATTTACTGCCCCGAGGCAGTTTGCCTTCTTTTGCTTGAACAGGGAACCTTTCAGGGAAAATTCATGCCATCGGTCCGTGCCGCTGGTCAGAAGATTTTGTGATATTTACCCCGGGTTTGAGATGGACCAGAGTGATGGCCGTCTGGCCTAGAGGTCTGACGTCAGCTGCCTTCACATCCGAAATGAGGGGTTCTGAAATCAATTCGTGTTTCGTGACCCACGGAGGTCACGCGAGTTCAGCACACACTGAGGTTGCATATGTGTGTTGGATTAAATCCTAAAACTGCGGTGATAGAAAATCGCTGCACTTTGTGTAGGTCATTCTTTCCTGCCTGTTGTTGCTTAAAGTGTGAATGATGGTCTTTGTCATTTTTTTTTTTATATTTAAAGTCATATTTTTCCAAAGATGAGGGGGAAAGTGATTAGTTGTTATTGCACATAACAAAGAAATGTGTCCTCTGCATTTAACCTATATGTGACATTGTGACATAGCAGGGGGCAGCACCCAGGGAGCAGTGTGTGGGGGCGGTACCTTGCTCAGGGTACGCAAGTGGTCCTTTGCTGGTCAGGGATTCGAACCAGCAGCCTTTCCATTACAAGGTCACATCCCCAACCATTAGCCCTCCACTGCCACCAAAGATGTTTCCTGTGCCTGCTTTCTCAAACCCTTGGGTCACTGACCAGTTTAATCCTGTGACTTTGTTAGTTCCTGTTGTGCTAAACCGGGCAGATTAACTGTTGGTAAGACTCCTCAGTTGCCCAGCCACTGCCCCGCAAAACACCCATTCAGCCATATTCAGAATGACGTGCAAGGTCAATCAAGCTGAAATTTCATGCAATAACATCTTAATTGGTGCAAAACGAGGCAAATGTGTTTGGTAGGCTTAGCGGGGCGAGGCGGCAAGCTGCCCGAACCTCTTCTGCATTAGCTTCACGTCGCTATGCTGCACCTAAAATGCTGCAGGCTACAATCACACCCAATGTTTATATATGCGGCTAGCAGTATCATAAGCGGAGCCACAAGCAGGTAGCACTGGCTTGAGAGGCAAACGCACGTTTTACGCAGCTTGTCATGGCTGGTCTGCAGTCGTCCCAGACTAGAGGATGCGTGACCCTCCCTTCCGTTTGATGGATTTTGTGCTTCCCTGCTAATTTCTGTCCTCCTCCGAATCGCTGCGTGTCGGTGAGGAGGCCCCTGATCTCATCTTCACGTTTCTCAACGTTTTCATGGTTTTGTGCTGCCTCTCTTCACTTCTGCCTCGGCTTTCCTGTGTTGTTTTCGCTCTTAAAACCAAAATATTAGCACATTTTTTGCCTCCACACCCATTTTCCTGTGATTGATGGGGGGGGGGGGTAGTCTCCCTTGATTTTTGTGGTACTTCGGTGTGTTATTTTTGCTGATATGAAATACCCCTCGATAGGCAGCTATGAAAGCATGTGCAGATGTAGAATGTCCCACGTCGCCTGCTTTCATGTCTCTGACTGTGGTTTTAAAGTGATCGGGACCCTTCCTCGAACCCGTGCTGTGGGTGTCACTGGACCCAAGTCAGCTGTGCTCTCGATTGTAGTTTGTCCCCTGTGTAGCGTAAAAAGCAGATGGGGGGGGTACATAAAGCAGACCCCCCCCACCCCCCCACCCCCTTGCTATCCTCACTTGGCTTTCGTCTGGCTTTGTCTCCACAGCTCCTGGGATTTGTGTACGCCTGCTACGTGGTCAGCGCCTTCACTGAGGAAGAGGACAGCTGTGAGTATGGGTAGTGTTGGAGAGCATTGGGGGGCTTTCACTAATGAGACCCCAAATAAACCCTTTACATAACCCCCCCAGGACAGCCATGTGTCCACATTCCATACACCCTGGATTTCCCCACCCAGCCCTCACAGCCCCTGTCACATGCCACCCCCGCCCCCCCACATTTTCACGCTGCATACACCCCATATGTCTGAAATAAATCCTTCCAGCTGTCTCCTGCTCCCCTCTTTTATAAGACATCCATACAAGAATCAGTCTTCCGTTGTCCATTTTATGTACTTTTTTTAATAATGTGATTGTTTTTTTTTTACACTATTCATGATTGATTTCTTACTCATTCTCTGGAATAATTCATAGGTACCTGGGAAAATAGAACAATAATTAGTTTTTCATAATTTAACTGTAGCGCTCTGCATTTCCGACCGTGATTTCTCATTTGACAGCGGGCCTAATGGCACAGTGTCAAATCACATTTTCGCGCATATTAAACGCTCCCGAGTAACAAAGATAAAAAAACAAAACCCGATGCCTTCGTGGTACCTCGGCCGTATGAGATTTCGCAGATGAATCGGCGGTATTTTATAATGTGCTGTTTGAAAGCTGGAAATTTAATAAGCGTCGCTACCCAGGACCTATCTAGAGCCTCAGACAATGCCCGGGAACTACGCTGGAATTGACGCTGATATGTTCTATTACATTATTTCAAATTCCCACATTAAGTCCGGTTGATAAACAAACGAAATGCATTTGATCCAGATCCATATTCAGTTAAGGGACTCGGGGGCTTTTCCGATTGTGAAATATCGGGAGACAGAATCCTGTGTTTATGTCTGTGACTCAGAGGAGAAGCTTCCATTTCTGTATCGATGTACAACTATGTACAGCAAGAGGGCCGCACATAAATTTTTATTTAAAGTTTTAATAGTTAATTGTACCTATGAACGCATGACATTGTGGAATGATAATTGCACTGAGTCCTGTTAATAGTTTGAGCGCTATTTTAATCATAATTACACACAGCCTCTTTGATGGTTTAATGGAAGCAGTTCCGCTCGAATGAGCTTGATATCTTCATGTAATCTCCCATTTTACAGCTTGATGGTCACATAGTGGATTTCCTCAGAGGTGGGTACCGGGGCCCCGCGCGTCCGACGCCGCGCCTTGAGCGCTTCCCCGGGCGTGGGCGGTGTCCGATCACTCCGGCGATCCCACCTGCGAGGGCAGCCGGTTCCCCCGCTTTCAACCGCCCTGTCCAATTAGCCCGGTTAAACAGTTATCCGCTCCATGCCTAATACGCTTTGCGAAAGCGAGTGTTGGGAATCAAAAGAGACGTGGAAACGCTGCCTGAAAGCCGGCGCCGCGAATAGTGCGATGCTCCCGGCGGTTCCTCGAAGACGCTTCTTAAAAGCTGCCAGATCCCTTTGATCCAGCCCCACCGTGTACCCCTTGAGCTGCACTGAGCCTGCAGGGGAGGAAACACCCGGCATTTTAAATCTGTATCTTGGTTTGTACAAATTATTAAAGGAAGAAGCAGAAGCGTTAAACACATCGGAGAAAAGTATTCCACGATCCGTTGCGTATTTCAGAATAATGTCCCTTCATTCGCCTGATTACGTAACAGCGCTTTCTGTGTTGGTCAGGTTTGGGTTCCAGTCGGACTTGCCGTGCTTCGTTTTCATCAGAAGAGCCACATTAAACTCTCTACTGGAGCTCTAAGCATCATCTGCTGAAAAATGAAAGGGATTAATTAGTTTGGTGTCTTTCCCAGGCAAAGAGAAGGGGGTTAACTGGCTGATTTTGCTTTTCATGTTCACCTGAATCCATCCTTCCCTCGTTATCGTTAATGACAGCTATAGGTAGTAATGAGATGAACTATATTTGCTGCCTCATTAGGAACCAGTCTTCTTAAGAGCCCCTTAATCCCGAAGTCTTCACATGGTCTGACTGCTGCAGTTTGATCTGATCGCTGGGATCCCAGACTGTACTGGGTGAGCGGGACTGAGCACTTCTGTAAAAGATATTAATTGGGAATCTTCAGTGTCAGGGTATACAGGCATCACTCCAGATTTATATTCCAGACTGGAGGGAACAAAAATGTACTGAAGTATTCGATTAAGTATAGATGTGCCTTAGACGTGGACACTTCAGCACATTTTATAGAGGCGCCCCTACTGACCAGTCACTGTGATTGTGCAACCGTCCGTAACCTGTGTTAGGTCACGTTGTGGGGAAACCTCTGGACACCAGCTAACTAAAGGTCTGTTTTCTAGTACATCCCCACCACGAACACAAAGTAAATGGTCAGTCTGATGTCTGGTGTGGTGTTTTCAAACCGTAACCCAGACTCACGCGGAAAGCCCTACTTAAAGCATATCTGAAATCAGGAGTGACTCACTGTGCTGAAAGGTGGCTTCGGTACCTCAGTGAGCAGTAATAATGATTCACCCGCTATACTATGGCATCTCAGATGAACCCTAACGACACTGAATGCCCGTCTTCGAGGTCAAGTAGCAGGCAGGCAGCGGCGTGTCTTACGGCGCACGCACTCCGCTGGAGAAATCCCAGAAATAAACCCGTGTGTTTTTCGTACCGATCCCTGCTGAATCGGCGCTGTTAATGGGAATGGTGTTGATTTGACAGTATTCCTGAACGTCCTCGGAGTGATTAAACACCACCGTCTGGGGGGGAAATAGCACAGCGGAAGGGAGCATGGTCCGTGTGTTAATTTGTGACGAGCCGTATGTCTCAGCTGAGTTCAGCTGAGTTTGTGGTTCCCAGGCGTCTCTTCAGGATAACAGGTTTATACTCGCACACTACGTGCAGGAAACAGGGAGGGGTGTTACGTCATCCACTGCGTTAATGAGGGACCTGTCTTCGTTTCAGCTCTCGACCCTCTACACACATACAGAAGTAAACAACCAGGACATTGGAAAATTGTTTTTCATTTCCGCAAATAACAGATGTACAATTACACCTATTTTCCGCTTCCTGCAACATAAACAGCATTACACACTTAGTAAACTGAGCACTTCATTAAAAATGCACATTTTAAACAACTGTCTCAACTCTTCACCTCCCTGTCCCAGAAACATCTAACACGGTAAACTCCCCCCTCCAGCTCTTGTATGGTTATTATGTTGGTCGTTGTGAATCATCATTTTTGTCTTTAGTTTCTCTCATTTTGGTTTTTAATCCCCTCCCCCCCCCATTTGAAATTTGTTTTGGTTCCAGTTGATTTTATCGGTGGCTTTGACCCCTTTCCCCTCTACCATGTCAATGAGAAACCGTCTCACGTCCTGCTAAAGCCCACGTACCTGTAAGTACCCACGCGCGTGCCAGTGTCTCTGCCTGTGTGTGTGTGTGTGTGTGTGTGTGTGTGTGTGTGTATTGGTGTTTTGGAGATTTCATTGTCTCTCACTCAAATTAAATCTAGAATTTTAGCTGGAACAGACAGACTCCCAGTTTCCTTTCCTCACCTCCAGTAGAGGGTGGGATAGTGTCCAGCTGCCAAGAGGGGGATTCAGCTATGACTGACAGGCGGCGGGTGTGGCTCTCCGCGGATAATATTAAGAGAAAAATAAAACTGCAAGCGTTGGCCGTCCGTGATTCTGCCTGCTGGAAATGAGCATCTCGTGTTCCCGCAGTTGTCTAGATAGTGAAAAGGCTGCTTCACCCGCAATGACAAGTTATATGGCTTTCATAATGTTAAGATAGAGGGGGAAGCGCGCAGTTTGCTATAGTACAAAATCATTACACCTCGTGGCCATGGACTTCTACACGATGCGTACACATGGTTTACACGCCTGTCCTGTATCCCCAAAAGATTTAGTTTAATTCAGTCTCACCGTTAATATGCTGTTTCGTGTAAATAAGTCTTTTATGCAAAATGACTTTTTATTACAATGATTAATTAGGACCATCTGAGTTCTTTAGAATATCTTGGCTTTTTTGCACAAAAACAAAAGAGTTTGTTAAAGGTTTTCTTATCTCTTTGTATTAAAAAAAAAGCTTTAAAACCTTTAAAATGTAGGAAACTGAGAAAACATGTTACACCGATTTTGCAATAGTGTGCAGAAATTATTTTAATTATGTGCTTTTCCAGCAGTTCATAAATGTTACTTAAAAGGAAAAAGATTGTTTCCCCTGGGGTAAATACTGTGGGACAAGTGACATGGTGTTTAATGTGCAACGGAGCGATACTTAATGATTCCTATGCATCTGCATTTTTGCGCCGTGCAGCGCCACCAGTCACAGAAATAATGGTCTTTCCGTTCCATTTCCAGGTCTACGTAAATAGCAGCAGTTTGACCGCTCCAGGACGGCCATAGAATCACTGGTGAGGGGGTGGCAAAGTGGATTCGAAAAGGAGGAAGAGGACTGTGTATCGGAACATCAGCGGAGAAGACCGAAGGCCGGTTTAGACGCGTCCTATCAGTGCTTATTAATACTGCTAGAGTACCGCTTACAAAGACTCGACTTCCAAGTTCAGTCCAGCTGTCTAAAAAGGTGATGGAGCCTTACCAGGTGGCAGATGCAGCGTGATTAAAAAAATAGCTAAAAGTTGTGGTTCAAATCGGACGAAAAGAGAGCGAGCCGTCGTCCGAGGCACCGTTGCCGTTGTCTCTGTGTGCGTCCTGTTTTGTCCGATCTGCAGATGTAAATAACGGGTATTTGTCTGGCTGAGATATGAGTCTGTTTTATGTCAGATAACTGTGTTCAGATATATTGTTTACGGTGCCTCAAACCACCGCGCGCACATACCTAGCCCAGAGGGGAAATAAGAATACAATAGACAGTAAAACAGTTCCGCAATAAAGGGCTGCTGTCAAAATAGAATTACTGTCACACAAAGCAGCCACTTCCCTGGCGTTCACACCTAAAGCATGCGTGATTATCGTGTACTGTAAGGTTTATGAAATCGCCCCCTTTTCTATCTTTTCCACTTAACATCTGAGAACATCTTATTTGTGTCAGCTGCCACATTGTATTTTCATTTTCGAGAAATTCCGTGTTGTTTTGTCTGGGTCTTTTTCTTTGCGTTTCTTACTTTTTTGCAATTTTTAAAAATAATTTCTCGTGAGAAGAGAAGGTTATGTTAAAGGGATACCGTGTGTATGGGAGGGAGGTGTTTGGGGTGGACTGATCAATGCAATATTTTGTCATTTTAGGGTGTGCGTTTTTTAACAATAGCTGACGGGGGCTTTGTGTATGATGTGGTTATTGGTGCAGCTGAACTGTCAACGAAAGAAATGAGACAAATACTTAAGTAAAGCACTGATTTCTGTTTAAAAGAAAATCAGTTCTAGGTGACAGCGCGTATCAATATGTGGCATGAAGCTGTATAACAGAGACCAAACGAAAGCTTTTTTTTTTTTTATTCCTACGAATAGGTCAGGCACTTCATGGCATGTTATAACGAACCACAACTGCCCCCTAGTGGTGACTGTCTATAAAACGGCCTTCCTATACATTTGTTTTCGCCTTTGTTTTTTGTAAAATAAGCATGTTAATTTCTTTGTATTTTAAAAGCTTTTTGTTTGAGGTGCGAACAGTGATTCGAAATGCCGTTTCGCACTAAACCATTGAAGCAGCTGTATGGTGTGTCTCTGTAAGGCGTCCGACTTAGCTTGTTATTAAATGTTATATCTTGCACTGTGACACCGCCCGACGAGCCCCCAGAGCGATGCTATCGTTTTACAATGGCAATTTAACGTGTATTTGTAACTAATTTGAAAAAAGAAATCAAATTATTTTGGTAAAACCGTTATATTAATATACCACATAGAATTAAGTCTTAATTCTTAATGTTCAAAGTGAATTTGTAGAACATAGGCCTACCTACACATTTTGAAATGATCAAAATTATGAGTCGTATATAATCACTTATTTGTAGGCTTAGAAATATACAGTGTAAAGTGATGGGCAAACATTTGCCCCCCACCCATCTCCTTTGTAGATTATATGTTTCTAAATATATAATTTCCAAGTGTTACATTTTGATCATTAAATATATTTGAATTGATTCTGTTTAGTATCAAATGTTTTAGTAAATGTAATTTATTTGCATTCAAACTGAAGTAGGCAAATTGTCAGAAAGGTATATTTTAATGAGGCTAATTTCATTCTTGACTAGGTATATAAGAACCTTTAGGCCGATCTGCTGCTGAATTCATGTAATTATCCCCCTGTTCCTTTCTTGTAGAAGTACCTCTGAGCTGCATCTGGGTCCTACCTTGTCTTCCAGATCATGCATTTTGTATATATCCCACATCCGTTATAACGTCTTAGACTGACGACTCTTTGTGAATTTAATCAGTCATTTTTTACCTGCCCTTCATTGCATTGCTGACCCAGAAAATCTCTAAAAACATGGTAAGTGTTTGAAAATGTAAATAGCAGTTTTCTAGAAAATAGCGTTTTTAATCCTGTTTCTTCTCAGCTGTTTGATGGATGTTAGTGGGTATATAGTGCTGTGCAGATTCATGTCAGTTAATCCCTGAGTGAGAAAAGTATTGTCTTCATTCATTTACTGGTGTACATTTAGTTTTCATCTGAAAAGGTTTCTCATGTTTGCCTCCTTGATGTACAATGACTTTCCCTTAGCAGTCAAAAAAAAAAATCATCAATTAAAATAAATTGGTGCATTTATTTTAGTAATGTTTATATAAATATAATGCAGATTTCAGCAACAAAATAATGTCTTTATTATCAGGTAGGTCATTTTAGTTTCTGTTATGCTTGGAGGGGGAGTGAAGGACTGGAATTCTCTGGTGTCCTGGCAACACCGTCAAACTCAACATGTGACAGTTCAATCCACATCAGAGGCCCAGGCGACCGGTTAGTGGAACAATCGCTTCAAATTCATCCCCTGTTTTCTAGCCATGAGTTCATTCTTCATCAGAAATATCCCAACACCTGGTTAAGAAGAAAAGTCATATTTCAGTCCTTCTAAGATTCACTTTCCACCTGATATGTACCGTGTCCTACCGAGTGGAGCGAGGCGATTCCCGGTAGTGAGAAAATGGGTCTCGCTATCATAATGGACTGCCTATTTCCATATCCCTTATTAATGTCGGGGGTGAGCTGAAACTGGCCGGCTGCAGAATGACATTTACTAATGATTTCAGGCAAGAATTCCAAGAAAGTTCTCTAATGCAGCGAAGCAGCCACTAACATTTAAGGTCATCTCTGTCATAATGAGCATGTAACCACTCTTAACAATGCATGTAGGATAAATACGAAGGTAGTACTAAAAGAAAGTTACAAAGAAGGTTAAGGAGGTAGTGCATAAAGCTCATGGGACTTTTGCTTATTAAAAAATGTTCTGAGGGCGGAAGGAAAAATGATTGGTTCAGAGATAACCAATCAGAAAGTAGAGGAGGTGGGTCCAAGCAGCTAGAGAATGCAGGACCAACCAATCAGGAGTCTTGGTCCCACCTCCTCTACAATCTGATTGATTATCTCTCTGAACCAATCATTTTTCCTTCTGCCCTCAGAACATTTTTTTGTGTAAGTAAAACTCCCACGAGTATTAATAAACAACTAACCTGGTGATGACCCTGGTACTGGCTTCCTGAGAAGCGCCCACATGTGGCATTAGGGTCAGGGTTCAGAAGATGACTTGGGGTGGAGGGGGGGCGTCATACCTGGAAAGGCCTGTCAGGACATAAATGCGCGGACGCTGCCCCGGATGATGGCACGGCAGATGGGGCAGTTTCGCAGACTGGCTGCGCAGTCAGTGCAGACCACAAGGTGTCCACAGGGTATGAAGACCATAGACACCAGCTTGTCCATGCAGACCTTGCAGGTTCGCTCCTCCTGCAGCTGCCTCAGCTGCTCCTCGGCACTCAGCTCCCCCGCTGCTGGCAGCATGCAACCACAAGGGGGCACTTCGTGAGAAATTTAAAGTTGCACCTCCGACCTGATACACATAACTCAACAGCACTCCTCCCTCCACATAGTGATGTCACCAAGATTGTTAAACTTTTAAGATTCCAGTTTTCTATTCTATAAAAAGGTTAATCAATATAATGTTTGCCTGCAGGGAAAACTGACTCCCTCTCCTAAGCCACAAATATTTGTTGTTGTTCTTAAAGCATCATTACCAATCGTCAAAACCCCATTCTTTGATCTCACACTGACACTCTCATTCTCGGCCTAACCACGGCGCACAAGTTATTCAAAAGTGTCTGCATGTGACAGGAGGTTCAAGGTCCCAAACCTTTATCTCTGGCCCGGGTCTGAATCCTCTCCTGTCCAGCGCTATGTCCTTGACTCACTCCAGGATCTGGAAACGAAGACAAATACAGTAAAATCCAGTTATAACAGACTTCAGGGGACCTGGCAAAACAGTCCGTTATATCCAGAGTTGCCCAGAACACAACTACAGGACACCATTTACTCATGCCACACCCCAGAAAGGTAGTAATCCAACTTTATTTATCGTATTTCACCTATTGCAATTCAACAAAAATCATTATGTCACAAACACACGTGTCCTTTTCTTACTACTGTAGTGAACGAATGCATAGCAAATGACAGGAGGCATTCTAATACCCTACACTAAAAGGTGTTCTAATGCAGTATGTCGTACTGTATGCAGATTACTGGCAAGAAAAATAATCTGTCATTTCTCAAAGTACAAAGAAGTCTTGTACTTCTCACGGTTACTCCAGATGTCACTGACCGTAGATGTACTTATACCATAGTCATGTACGATATCCACTTGTGTTTCCTTTTTTGTTTCGATTAAAAGAACGATTTCTCGTTTGAAATCTAACGTTATAGAACGACGCTTCGTAGCAGACTTCTCAGCCATTTTGAAAATAACTATTGATGCGCATGTCCGTTATAGCCGAACAAAACCACAGCTAAAAGCGGCCCTGGGGACCAAATTAATTGTCCGTTATAAGCGAAATTCCTTTATATGCGAGTCCGCTGTATCCGATGCTTTTTCTGCATGTTCTCAAAGGCGCACGGCCGGGACCAGCGGACCTCGTCCATTATAGACGATATTCCGTTATAAGCGAGTCCGCTATAACGGGATTTTACTGTACATGCATTTCCCAGATATAAACAGGGAATAACATCAGAATGCAGTGATAGAGCAAAGCACTGAGCTCTAATACTGCAGTTTTGGCCTGAACTAAAACACAGATTCTGTACTGTTTATCCTACTTGGTCCACACATACACGCTCGGTTCACTTAGCACAAGTATTCAAGGGTGTCCCGATCCTCAGAGAAGCCAAGTGCAGCACGCTTGACTTGCACTTTATCCACACTTTGGCAATTACTGCATGGAAACAGTCTTTGGCTAAGTATGTAGACCACAATGTACCACATCAGTAACGACTAATGTTTACACTGAACACGAGGAAGTCTGCCAGCTTAACAGAACCCGAGTCTCTGAAAACATTTCAGTGTAAGTGCGCAAAGCTGTATAATGAATGTTTACATAGCCTAGGCTATAGTGAAGGACAACCCCACACGAGCCAAACAAATGACAACATAGCTGTAGCATCTCTCTTATTTACCTCTTCAGATATCAAGTGTGTCCCATTGGGTTCAAGAAATCCCTGCACACTTGGGATCCTCACATACACTTGCGCACTTTGCGTCAAACATCAAAATAAGTCACCACAGTGGGTAGTATCTCAGCATGTTTGACCTTACGTGTGCTGAACGGGACGCAGCCAGAGAATTAGGGCAAATGCTTCGGGGTAATGAGGCTTAGCACAAAGCAGGAATGAAATGCAATATTACATGATTTTTACCACAAACAGGAATTGAGTGGCAGAACGTTTTATGAAGCAGCCAATAAGGTCAACGGTCACCGAGCTGCATGTGACTAATCTCAGCACAGGAAGTGATGATCAGGTCCAATTTCTCCAAAACTACATACTGCAATGCTCATGGAAATCTGCGATGCTGGCAGACAGGAGGTACCTCTGGCCTGCTGGGATCTCCTCCTGTCCTCCTCTTCTGCCTGCAGCACATCTGCCACTAGGTCGGACACGGAGGTGTAGCAGGTACCTGTCAGCAGATACTTGGTTTGGACCAGACTCTCCACCAGATTGGCTTCAAACCCCATCTGTAGCACTGTGTGGATGACTGGGGTCATCAAGGCTGAAGAGGAGCCCTGATAGGTCAGTGTATCTGCCAATCAGAGGACACAACATACAAAGGTGGGTAAGTCTGAAACTAGACCTTAACACTCAGCTATGGACTACTAAAACCTGGATGAGTAGGCAGCCAACAATTAAAATACTGCAGAATATCATTAATAATACTTGAAAGCAATAAAAATGGTCAACTACAAACATCAAATGACACGCTAATGCAACTTTGGTACAAATTCTGAGTTACACTGCGGCTTTCAGAATTAAAAACCACCTTTGTGAACTGCTCAAAAGACTACAGATGGTTACACTGAGTTCATTAATGTGAATGATACCTTTTGCTCATTTTATTGTCAATTACATGTAAGCAAGTAAAATATTTACGCCCATAAGAGCAGGTGCTGTTTTATGATTCCTAAAAATATCCAATGACTAATCAAGTTGTGCAAAGACTGAGCAGGACACAAAGATGTGCTTTTCACGGGGGCTGTGTGACTGTGATCAGAAGGTTGCTGGTTCAAATTCTGTCATCAGCAAAATGGTTTCACCACTGGGCCTTTGCAACAAGGGCCTTAACCCCAATTACTCCAGGGACTGTCTGGCCCTGCTTTCTCAATTATATGTCGCTTTGGATAAATGTGCCTGTTAAGTAAGTAAAAGCTCAGTCCAGATATGACCCAGTGTCACAAAACGGTTAGTCTTTGAGGAAAATGAGCTACAAGCTTTGAACCAGCCACGTTTACTTTTCCCCCCCGCCAGCACGCCTGCCAACAGGCCTGTCCGAGATGAATTTCAGTGCCTGAAAGGCGGACAAATTGAACAAAATGGGAGCGTAGAGCCCTGGGGCGTGATTACATCACCCTCACGCGACGTGCGTGCAAATTACACTCCACTAGCAAGCGGCCCTAACAGGGTATAGCGGCACTGGGTGATTTTAACCCCACTGTAAGGACCACTGCGGCCACTGTTTCCCTGCGGCGTGATTAAAGGGCTGCTTTAAATCATCCGCCTTCTTACTAAGGCAGCCATGTTTGGATTTAGTGTGCAGTTTTTGGATATGAATTAAGCTGGATTTTTTATAAGTAAGTTTGAATCCAAAACTAAAACTGATTTACTATCTCAAATGCTGCCAGTGATGGGGTTAAATAAATACATAAATAAATAAATAAATACATACATACATAGAAAAAAACAATTATTATTATTAAGTAGTAGTGTACTATAGTTGTTGTCCTTGTTGTTGTTGTTCTAGCTACCTAGATGAGTGCTCACCATGTCCAGAATTGGGGTCTCTTGCAGTAGATATCGGAGATGCACTCTACAGAGATGAAAAATAAAACCGCTTTATTTAAGAACATATTAATCTGAGAGCAGACTTACAAATGATCAGTAGAGTTTTAGGAGGATGTGCTTCTTACCAGGGTTTCACTTGTACTGAAGTATGAGTCTTGCACGCTGCTGACGTATTCGCGTCCTCTCGCCTGAAGCAGAAACTCGCATCTAAAGTGGGGGGGGCGGTTATGCCACAGAAACACCGTTTAAAATACTCCCGGAAACATCCACGTGATTGCTAGAGCTATTATTAAACAGAGTACTCTACCATAGATTTAACCTGCTTAATTTGAGAATGTCCCATGTCCCTTTCATTTTCAGTTATCTGTTGACTTGTTAGGTCATGACACGCTACCAATTTCAGTGCATTTATTGAACCTAAAACTTGCGTCAGTTGCATAAGAAATGATAACGAGGGAGAACATAAGAAATTTACAACGAGAGGAGGCCAATCGGAGAGCAAAAGCCTCAGCTTCACTGATCCAGGACCAGCAGCGTCAGCATCACTATAACACGCGCTGCCTGTATCCGTTACCGTGGAAACCACTTGGCGTGCTCCTGCCACGGATCGTCCCCAGGCTCCCAGTTCCTCAGGCCTCCATCACAGTAGAAGCACTTCACATTGTCACCGCGTCCTGTGAGGGATACAGTTCCCTGACGGCTTTCAGCGTGCGCATCTTTCACTCACAACATGAGTCACTAACGCCTGCAAGAGGCAAACAGCAAATTACTTTGCCGACGTACTCAAAGGTCCAAGATTAAATACACTGCTCCGTTTAATTACACGGGGGGTCATATTCCTGTATGTAAACATAAGCAATGAGTTTTTAGAAAAATTGATATTTTTTGCAATCTATTCCTTGCGTGTACGTATTTCCGACAGCTTTTACGATTAACGTAAATTTTTTTTTCCATTACAATGAGGCTCATCAGAGGTGACTGACCGGTCATAATGTGGATTTTACTAGCCTATATCTCAATACAAAGATACACTGGGCAACCGGGACTAAAAAGGTCACTTCTCTCTTTGAGAGTATAAAAAAGTCAAAGCGGGGGTATGGCGGTCTTTTTCCATCCAAAACCCCATGACTATTGTGCTGTTATTGTCCGTACTCTAGTGCAACGCCATAATATTGCTGTATTATTACTATACAGACATGACATATTGTCTCACTGTTATACGTTATCTACTAAATCACATGATTCGGCACCTGTATTACTGTAAAACCCCAAATCCGGAAACTTTCAGTGCTCAAAAGTGGAAAATGACTCAAGCAGCATCTGGAAAGTGGAAGCAGTTGAACAGGGTTGCAAACTTTGGTCAGGTGGCTGGCGTGAGATTTTCAATTCGAGTCAAGTCTGCATACGCATTTACATGTAGGCCTATGCACAGGGGCGTTGCTAGAGATTTTGGGCCTCATGAAAGCATATCATATTAGGCCCCCCAGTCCAAACCAATCCAGTTATTTTCCTAATTTTTTAGGGCCCCTGTCACTCAGGGGCCCTTGGAATCGTCCTAGCTTTCCTCCCCCTTACGGCGCCCCTGCCTATGCAAATGCTTTATAAATAGTCCGTAGGGTTTGCAAACTACGCTTTTGATGCAGCTAGTTTTAGGTTCATAATCGAATAATCTAGATTTACCGTAGGATTTCTTGCGTGAGCGTGAGAGTCAGAAAGCGTGCGTGTCACGCCAGATGCCTGAGAGTTGGCAACCTTTGTTGAAGGTGTGTAGGCGTACCGGTATAGAAGAAACCAGCTCTGGCCAGAACGTCCGGTTGGACCGAGGAATCGGTGGGCCAGTCCTGAAAAGTAGTAACCCGCGACTCCTCTGCCTCCATGTCTGGGTACACTGCCTGTCCCAGGACAGCCGGGTCATCCACGGTCATCCTCTGCAGCTGGCTGACCAGCTGACCGTCCACGTCGTCAGCAGAACCCCGTCCAGCAAAGTCCTGAATGTCTCCCACGTTTCTGCCCAGCGCAAAGCCGCATGTCGGAAAGTGCTTCTTATGTTCGCCCAGTGGGGTGTCACCGCGAACCCAGTACCTCAGCACTCCACCACAACAGAAACATCGCACCTTATCCCCGGGCCCAATAAAGTAAAACCCAGCTTCGGCAAGACCGACTGCGGTAACCGGGGCATCTCTCGGCCAGTCACGGAAAGTCCCGAGCCTCTCTTCCTCGCTCCTCATCCTCGGCTCAACCGGAGTTACCATCGCAGAGCTCCCGTCCGCCGACATGCTGGGGATCGCGGTCATTATGGATCAAGTAGCCGGAGAACCGACCGGCTGCCTGGCATGTGATGTCGAGGGCGGGGCTGGCAAGTTCACATGAGACATTAAATGAAATGACCTTCCCGAAACCTCGGATGTTTGAATTAGCACAGGCTTTGAAACACTCATACAATAATAGTTTGAATAGCATTTCCCAACCATTCGTTGAAAGAATCAAACGGGTTTCGACAAATGCGCTGTTTTAGATAAAAACAGAATCATGGCGAAAAGAACAAACTAAACCGAATATTAAGTGTATTATTTAGGCTATGGAACGCTTGATATTTTTAAAGACATTTAGGCTACATTCTATTTAGGCTAAATTAATAATTTCACTTTAGTTTTTTTATCGGTTTCACAAACATTTTGCTGGGTTGGTGTGTTTTAGGTTTTGCGAAATACTTGCCCAGCTCATTTGAAGCTGGGTTTTCCGTTTGCGTCCCCCTATGCGCTATTATGTGAATCACTGCATGTTTTATATGGAATGGATATTATCAACAAGAAACAACGCACTGTGAGATACACCAGGGAACACGACAGGGAGGAAAATAGAAGACATTTGCAAATTAAGAAAAAAGAAACAAAAAATTGCGAGGATAGCACATTGGGTGGATATATTGGCTAAAGAGTCTAGAAAATGAAAACGACCATATTCCGCTCGTGAAGTTTCCTTTCATCCTTTTTTTTAAATCTAAAAACAATCTAGGCTGTTTCTGCAGCGACACCAAGCGGACGTGGAAATGCAACGCTACCTTGGGATTTTAAAAATAGGAATCGCCTTGCTGAGTTAGCAATAGGATAAGTTACGTAAATAAAATGCGTACTATCGATGGTATAATGCGTTTACAAAGCCCATAAAGCTTGACTTCTGGGGTAATACAACTACCAGCTCTATATTCCTCAGGGTTTCCTGAAGAAAAAACACACTGGGACTGATTCATGCCTTGGGACAAGTTGGTGTTCTGAGCATGTCGGCGTCAACTAAATGCTAACATGGTTTAATTAAATTACAGTATTTTTTGCCCTATGTGCTTATTAGCTTCTTTTTTTTTGCAAGACAGATACTTTTGAGCCTCAAACACATTATAAAGTTGTATCGTTAATACTTAATACTTATTAGTACTATTAGTGATTGCGCTGTTGGCTGTTAACTATAGACATGCAACGCAACCTTTCGATTGATACATTTGCAGGGAGAAAATGGAAAAGTTTAAACCTTTGATCCGAATTTCCGGTCCAATCTGTCATTCTTCTCCAACCCGCCGCCCCCCCTCGCGGCAGTCCGGCGGTGGTGACGTCACTCCCTCGCTCTTTTGCTCCGCCAGACCCCGGATCAAGCTGCCTTCGGTGGGGGGGGGGAAGTGGATCGGGTTGTACGATAACCGGGGGGATTTGTTAAAGTAGAAAAGAAATAAGCAGTAACACCCCAGTATGGTTGTAAAAATCACTAAGACAAACAAATTAAACGTTTAAAGTAAAAACTGTGGATTGGATACAAAGACCCCCCTGCTAGGCAGATTCCTCCGGGACAGATTATTATAAATGCTTATAAAAATAATATACACATTTTAAAAGCAAGTGGATCGGCGATCGGATGTAGCAGTGGTGCTCGTAGTGGTGATACAGCTACGCGTTTTATATGTATGTGTTGGTTGGGGGGGGTTACCAAAAAAAAAAAAAACCCGCACTGAGCAGGGACCGAAAACACGGGGGGCTTCGGGAAGACGGGACTGAATCCGGGGGCTTGCTTGATGAATTATGTCCGCCGCAAGCATAGACCCTCAGGTAGGCAGCAGCGCCGGGTGCATGGGCATCGCCGGCGAGCCGCTTTTTAATTTCGGCATTTAAAGCTCATTTCGAAGTGAGGCCTCCGTATGTTTATTTTGCGGGGAGGACGGAGTCACATCAGAGCCCGGGGGACGGCAGGCGTACGCCGCACAGCCAGCGCTCCGGAGATCCGGCGCATCGGCGTCTTTTTGCGCGACACCGTAGCGCCGTCGTTAGTTTGCTGGTCTTACAGTCCCGCTCCCCACCATTTATATCCTGCACCTTAGTGGGAATAGTGGGAATAAGCTTAACTGTAACCTAAGGACTAGGGAGTTATCTGTCACCTATGTTTTTATTTTTTAATCTTGTTTTTGATATCTGGAGTAACTTTAAGTAGCTGGGCGCGTTAGTTATTTATCTAGCGGATAGTGTCGGTGTTTGTTTTTTCCAGGTCGGGGAAGGAGTGACTGTAACGTGATGCACACCCGGAGCGATCGGCTTGTTTACGTGTGTTAATGTGTGTGTTCTTTGTACCGTGTTTTGCATGGCGTCCTTCTTAAAACGACAATGCAGAGACCAAAGGGACAAGCCTCCAAAGGTAAGCGAGGCGACAGACGCCTTTTTTCCTCCTCGTCCGTGTGTCGTTTCTCTATTTGCGGACCGGCTTAGGAGTCGCTTTGGGGCCGGTTTGGGTTCACTTAGGGCAGCTCCTGCCGGGGCCGCACCGCCTTGCCAGATACGTCTGTTTTTACTAAAAATAAAAAGGAAAAAAAATAATATATGTGTAAGTTGATGTGTGTAAAAGTATATGTATAAAAATCTTTATGTATAAATATGTATATGTGTGTGTATATAATAGGTGTGCGTCTCTGCGTGAGTGTGACATACATACATCCATAGCTAGCGTGTAACTCATAATGTAACCCGATTAGTGATCGATCACATGCGACCCACCACAATTCATGTTTAGACCATGCAGTTAATGATTGGGACTAATTATGATAACTTACAAGGAATTGTATAAGGCTACACTGTTGACCAAGATAAGCTTGTTTATCCCCGATGCTAATTCGTGCCCTTATTCTTGAATTTGATCAGTATTTGAATACTTTCAGAGAGGGAATCGGGAATCAAGACGTTATTGATTAGTTTAGTGATATGAGCTTTCATTATGCTGTCAGATATATCCCAAATTAGGTCTCCTTGCAGGTAATTTAGCAGCAGTTAGTTATTGATGGGTGAGTTAAAAGGTCTGATAAAGTAATCCTTGGGTGTTCATGTGTTTTGTCCTTCATCCTGTGTTTAGCATGTGTCTGTTTGTTTAATCTGGCTGTGAATTGGGAAGTGAGTCACGCAGTTTCTCTTTTTCAGTGCAAAATGGCTCAGTCCACCAGAAGGAAGCCTCACACGACGATTTTGAACCGTATCTTACCAGCCAATCTGACCAGGTGAGTGTCAGGGTCTCTGCTCGTTGGACATATTTCCTAAGGTATTGTCAAAGCTCTCCGTATGCCAGCGTTTAGTTCTGCAGTTTTAGAAACCGTTCAGGTGTGTCAGAGAGGATGGTGGTCGTGCTGAAAGTGATTGCAGTCGGCTACACCAAACAGACAGTGTCCTTAAATCTCCTTCACACACAGATAGAAGCTCTTTCCAGCTGTGATACTGGCAGCAGCCTCCAATTTAGCGATTTGTCGCTAAGGCTGAGGGGATATTCCATGTATTTAAGAAGGTGCTAAAAGCACTCGAGTCTGCTTCTTGTAAAGCTTCGTCTCGAACCTCGGGCCGGAAGGGCAGGGGTGGATTCACAATATGGCAGCAATGTGCAACTGCCATTCTGGAACTGGTCGACTGGTGCATGTCCCAGGAAACGAGTCAAACATGTTCCTGGGTACAGTTTTCTCATAGCTATAATGTTGTGGCTTGTGTGTTGTTGGTAAACCTTTAGGTATAATATAATAGCTGTTCTTAAGGATAATTTTGTTTAGTGCTGGTTTATTTTCATATCTTGTTACAGGGTCTTGTAACTTGTTTGATTTTTGGCTGTTTTGTTAAATTTCTCAGCACCAGCTCTTACTTTCTCAAAATAAGTTGTCACGTTTTGTTAGTTGCGTTTTTGCCTGGTATAGAGACTTAATTTGTCAATTTTCCACCTTTTTCAGGCAGTATTTCTTGTGATTGTGTGAAGCTCTGAAGCTGATGGTCACTGTTGACATTTTAAATATACTTCACTGGTTTCCCACAGAGGGAAGGTGGGATTTTCAGCATGACGGTCGACACGGTTTAGCCTGCAGCGGTTGTGGAAGGGAACCATGTTCTGTGAAAAATTTTGTGAAATAATTGAGGCTATTTAATATCAGCTATCCTTAAGGGTCATTATATTGGATGTTCTATGTGTTCCATGTAGAGTGGCTTGCTAGATAGGCCAGTGAAGGACCTTCCACAGAGGGTGAGAGATCATCTCTACATCTTGATGCTGTGTGGAGTCAGAGTTGGAGGGTTTCCACTGCTTACTATGATGGATCAGCTTTGGGGCGGCGTTACTCCTGTCTGGTAGGGTGGCGAAGCATCTGGGAGATGTAGCAGGAGAAGCTGTTGTAGTCAGATTGTTGGTGAAGATGGTGTCTGGTTCTGCTCTCGCAGCTGTTTTATGGACTTGGAAACTTGAACTGTGTCTGAGACCCTCAGAGACAACTATGTAGCTACCACTCATCCATCCATCCATCCATCCATCCATCCATACAGAGCCTATCCCAGGGTGCACAAGGCAGGAAACGCCCTAGCTGCGATGCCAGTGTTTGAGTTAGTTGTAGTAATTTTTAAAATTTTGATTGATTTTATGTGTGTGTGTGTGTGTGTGTGTGTGTTGGGCCTCATTCCTTCACTTTCACCCACTTCCTGCATCCCGTGGCCCTCAGTTTTGTTCAGGGCTTTATCTCCTATGTGAAGGTCACGACCCCCAGTTAGCGTATCTAGGATTCCGCTTAAATCCAGGTGCGTGAAACGCAGGTTTGCCCGAAGCTGCCTTCCGTCTTGTTCCTCGTCCCCTTTTTGTCTGGCCTGTTTCAAACACTTCTCTGCACTATTTTTAGCTGTTTTTGTTTTGTATCGTTTTTTTCTTTTCTTTTCTTGCAGACGGAAGTATGAACCCCTTTCCCGTTGTGAAATTTCCTGCTAATGGGGATTTCTTGCCAAAAGTCTCAGACATCGTCCGAGTGAGAGGGTGTGCAGTTACTCTGTTGATAATTCTCACAGTCACTACAGGAGCTCTTCTCTGGACCAAAGTGGGGCACTCGCTGTGCTCTTGTAATATGGACGTCCGTTTGATGTTCAGAGACGGAGTGTCCTCACTAAGAGGCTTCCACGGAACCAAGTGCCCCTCTCTCGCCTTCTGAGCTTGCTGCCGTGACGTCAAAACGAGCATCGGAGGCGTCATTTGCTGCTCCAGGCAAACGTTTGGCTGGAGCAGTTCTTTATATAAAAAGTGCTGCGAAGGTATTTGCCGCAAGTGTGGTTTTTGACCGTTTGCATATTTTGCACGATGAGCTTCATCCAGAGCAGAATATTAGATTAACGTGAAAAATGGGCAAAACGCAATCGAAACCAGAATTCTGCACCTAGGTTCAGCCATCCATTTTCTATACCCGCTTGTCCAATGCAGCATCGTAAGGTTCCAGAGCCCATATCAGAAGCTATGGACGCAAAGCAGGATGGGGCACCAACCCATGGTAGGGCAGACTCACCCCATTCATGCATGCACTCATACCTATGGACAGTTTGGTGACTCTGGTTAACCTTAGTAAACCCCATGATGTCATGGGGAGAACATGCAAGCTCCACAAACATGGGGTCATGAGGAGACTCAAACCCTGGGCCCACCATGAGCTCCTCTTGGCTTCAGTGAAGTATATCTCTCCGACTTCCCATCTGTCTGTCATTGACGAGCCGTGGGCCAGTCTCTGAGAGCTCAGCACTCACTCCGACCCTCACGCCCGTGCAGAGCTCGCTGACATCTCTCACTTTTTGTGCACAGCTTGCTCCTTTCTGAGCGTCTCCCTGGGATTTAGGCCCAAACTTAGACTCGATCCGCTGAAACCTTTCATGTTCTCATCATTCCCCCGTCGTCGCGCGTTTCACATCACCGACTTGCCGCGCGATCCGGTTCTGCCCCGTGATCCGGTTCTGCCCCGTCCAGCTGTCCTGCACCCTTAGCCTCCGGAGGCACTTATGGCCGCTTTTGCGAAGTTTTTAATGTGCAAAGTGCCGTTCGGTCTTCAGACATAACTGGGCCCAGAATTTCCATCTCTTATGCATCTGTCCGCTGGACGCTGCTTGCGGAGATCTAGGCAGGTGGTTTCTCACTGGCTTGGGGTGATCTGATCAGCAGCTTTAGCCTTGTCCTGCTGCTCTGTACTTCGCTAGCCAGGCCCGAGCCTTCGGTTTGGCTTCATGGTACTTTACACAGTAATACACATCGTTTGACTTGCCTTCCGGAATTTGTGTGGGTCAGATACCCGCCCTGCTTCATTTATGTGGCTCTTAAGAGGGGAATCTGACGTTGGAATGTTGTTTAGCTTAGGAGGGCAAGAGAGCTCTACCCATGTCTGGAAGGTCATGGGTTCAAATCTCGTAGTTGGCAGGGTAATCATATAATTGCAGGGCCCCTGATCCCTGCTGCTCCAGAGATGCTGTTTGACTGCTCTCTGACCCAAAGTTTGCTTATGCCTGTACATGTATGTCCGTGGCAGGATGAAAATGACCCCATCCCCCGAAGATGAATAATGAGCTTTTCTGTAGCGTTGCCAGGATATTACAGATAAGTACTTCCTCACGGCTGACGGGGTGTGTCTCCGGTTAACTACAGAGATGTCGCTTTGTTCCATCAGACAATCTGTGTCTGAAGTTAGCTTGTGATTTGTAACGGTGTATGTGCTCTGTGAAGGCCTGGCCTCCTGTGAAGGCCTGGCCTTCTGTGAAGGCCTGGCCTTCTGTGAAGGCCTGGCCTCCTGTGAAGGCCTGGCCTCCTGTGAAGGCCTGGCCTCCTGTGAAGGCCTGGCCTCCTGTATTGGGTGTTCCTGCCTTATGGCCCGTGCTGCCTTACACAAACTCCAGGTTTGCTCTCACTCTCCGTCTGATAAGCTGGTGAGGATTAGTAAGTAATTTTTGTACCAGACAAACTGTCAAACAATGTTTTGTTTTTATTTGGCCTTTTAATGATGTTTATATGTTGTGCTGCTAAACTGTCCAGCACAGGCCCTTTCAGATCACGGTCCTCATGGTCCGAGCCCTGCTGATTTTCCAGCCTTTACACTGAGAGCCGGGTGTGAAGCCTGTGGCCAATCAGAATCAGTAATTATTAAACTGACTACCTGAGAGAACTGAAAACAAGGCCTGGATTTGGAATCGAGGGCCAGATTTGAAGAGCCCCGGTGTAGGCTAATCTAGTAAATCTTTTTTTCAACCTGGGAGACCCCCCTACCCCCCCCATGAAAATGCCCTCAGCTAGGGACCCCTGAATAAGAATGTGTTTGTTACCATTTAATTTATTTAGAAGAATGCTTCATTCAAAGTGGCATCTGTTTGAGCAAGCAGAGTCAGCCAGTCTCTGGTGTGTTTGTGGGTTAAGGGCCTTGCTAAGGGACCCAATGGTTGAAGTCACTCCACCAACCCTGGGATTTGAACCGGTGACCTTCTGATCACAGGCAACGGCATCCTAACCTGCTGAGCCAACACCCCCGCCTGAGCTTTGTGTAAGATAATTTGTCAATTTCCTAAATGTCCCCTTGGACCCCCCCCGCAAGCCTTCAGTTCTCCCTGCCAAGTGAACAAGGAGAATTCAGGGATCTTCGTGATGAACACGTGGGTTCATCACCTCTGCTGCTCTGCTTGGTGAGAGGACACCCCCAGAGAAAGCGCTTGGCACATTTTCACATTAATGTTCTTCACTGAGGAAATTATCCGCTGCAGTGTGCATTTCATAGAACCCATCATTTCAGTACTAATCTCACTGTATGCATATGAAGGACCAGGATGTATAGATGACTAGGAATGTGGAACAAAGTGTGCAGAGTTTGAGCCACTGGTTCAAAGAGTAACTAGATGTTTCTTTGCAGAGCAGGCAGCTGTTTAATGGAAACTGACCACGGAATGTATGTCTGCCTGTACCTCAGCCCCCAAGCACATTTTCATTTGTATGGACTGAATTTAGCTGATGTCTGAAATATGACTAATATTCATCCGTCCGGGGGCCGTTTCGATGAGTGTGCAGGTCCCGCCGAGAAGTCCTGACATCTTCTCCACTTTCAGAAGCATCACTGGACCTGCAGGGAGGGTGTACATATTTTTTAGAACGTCCTTGTGAAGAGGCTGGCCGAGGGCTTCCTCTAATACCCTGTATCTCCAAAAATAAATCTGAGGAATTTATCAAATGTTCCTGGACTTACATGATAGAAAAAAATAAGTTAGCAAAATATATACTCGGGCTAACTTAATGGCTAAAATGCTTCAAAGAGCAGCAGTTTTTGACCTTTTCTCAAGCACTTAGAGGTTTTACCTCCATCCGCTGAGCTGCATCCACGACGATTCAGCATCTGGACCTAATTAGCAGACTATCTCTGCTTGTTCGTACCAATTGATATATTGCAGCTATTGCAAAGGCATGACGTTCCTGTTTGAATAACGTCCCTTCAGTGTTTCTAGGCCTCCTCCCCTCTTCCTTATTCCTCATGTTTTCCTACATTTTTTCCGGTGGGTGCCATTCTGCTCCGTGGGTTAATGTTTAACATGTGAGCATCTCCTGGTCTCCAACCTCTGTGCCATCAGCGAGTAAGAGGGGTGGTTGATCTGCAGCTAGACGTTTCTGCCGGATAAATGGGGGAATCGGTGTTTACAGACAGATGTTCTGCGGTCTAGACCTTTGCACGTTTTGGCAGAAGTTTACAAAATCACACGGCATATTGATAGTAATCGGCGCAGAGGTCGTGTCGGGGATGCAGGTACTTCACTTGGGTATCCCTGAAAAATTACTAGTGCTTGCTAATTAAATCAGCACTGAGTGATAATATCCTCCTTACCGATCCGCACTCACTGCTTCCAGCTCAGTGAATTTTTACAGACGCTAAGCTAACAGGCTTTATGAGATTCCCTCTTTGCTGTGTGTAAATGGGCAGTTTTTCCAGCAAAAGCATTTCACCGCTGGTACATAATTACATGATGCGGCCATTTGCATGCAGTATAGCGGTGTCTGAATGGCTACTCTGTGATTGGCTGGCAATTGTCTAGCTTAATCCCCTGGACATGGTGATTTGTGCAGGGCTAAAATTAAAAAACGAATATCCGTGCTGTAAATTGCGTGCGTGTGCGTGGCCTGGTAAATGGTTTCCTGTAACGTTTTATGTGGAATAGTGTTTTAGCTTTGACTTGTTAGCTGAGTGGCACGTTGGCACAGTGGGTAGCATTTCTGCAGGCTTCTTCCATTATAAAGCATTAATTGGCATTTCTTAGCGTATACGTGTTGTGCCATGAGCTCCGGGTCACTGTGACCCTGTAGTAGATAAGTGGTTGTGAAAGGTGTTTGGCCGTTAGGTGCTAGAGAGAAACCAGGGTTGGGCAATCCCTGCTTAAGGGCCTTGCTCATTGGCCCTACAGTGAAATCACTCTGCCGACTTTGGGATTTGAACCAACACCCTTCAGGCGCGGGGTCCTGACCCACTGAGCTGGGGCTGTGCTGTTAGTCGGCTCGCTGGTGGTGTCACTGCGGTCTGTGGTCAGCACTTCAGTGACAGCAGCTTCTCATGTGTCAGTGTTCCTCTGTCCTCCGCTTAGCGGTGAAACTCTGAATTCTTCGTCAGGTCGAATCCCGCTGAATCCCCTGCTTTCGGTAGAGTGGCGTGTCCCACTGGCGGGCCCTTATCTCGCCCGCTGATCCCCGTACGTGTGACGTGGTAGGAAGCCCTCATTTATTCCGAACTGGGGGAATCAGATTTTGTAGCCTGCTTGGTCTGCAGAGACCGCGAGCGTTTTCCAATTAAACGCTGACCCGTTTTGTGTGCATGTTGTACCTTTTTTTTTTTTCTCCTCTAGATATTCTTGGTTACAGGCTGTGAATTTCATCTGCGTGTCGGTGACTTTTGGCACAGCGCTGTTTGCCTTGTTAATGACCCTGACAAGGAAATTCAGTTTAGCAAACATTTACATAATGACCTATTTGGGCTTTTTGTTTGGCCGTTTGGTATTTCCACTTGAGGCCTGAAGAGGGCAGTAGAAAATGTTTGCCTATTCATTACCTAATAAGGAAAGTAAGTTATGTAAGCAGCAGGAGTGTGTACTATGCCATTGGTATAAGTATATATGTACTACAGATCTCTTAATCCCAGCTCTGGTCGGGTCCTGCTAGCATTAATATGTTATCATTTGTTGCTACATGGACTCAAACCTGTCAGCTGTGGGTGATTCAGGTTCCTGGTATTTCACTTATGTAAAATATGTTATCTAATTGCCAAAAGCCTGTTACAGTTCTTCTGTTGCCTGTAAATAAATTTTACGTCGTGCTAATAGTCGGTTAATCGATTAATCGACTGACGAAGCGAGCACCGGCGCCTTAGCTGCTAAATCCCAGGGGGATGAGCCGAGACCTTGGGTCCGTTTCACGTCTTGTGTCCGCAGACCGCACCAACGCACGGGCGTAACCGTGCCGGTCTCCAGCCGGGAGAGGCCACCTCGGATTGCCGTTTCCGGAGGTTCGTGTTGTATTCCAGGTTCCTGCGCAGCCGTTTAATTAATGGCGAAGATCCAAATCGGTAAATCGGTGTTAAAAGATTCGCTGCCCGGAGGCTGTTTAAAATAGATTTTTCTTTATTGAAAAGTGTTTAATATCAACGTCTCTCTCTCTCTTTTCAGAGCAACAGCTATCAGTCGATGACCGATCCGTACCTGTCCAGCTACTACGCCCCGTCCGTCGGGTTCCCCTACCCGCTCAGCGACGCCCCCTGGTCCACTGGTGGAGACCCACCTGTCCCCTACCTGACCCCCTACGGACCCCTCAGCAATGGCGATCACCATTTTATGCACGACACTGTTTTCGGGCAGCCAGGGGGGCTTGGCAGCAGTCTGTACCCCCACAGGTTTAACTTCTTCCCGGAGAGCCCCGCCTTCTCCGCCTGGGGCACCGGCGGCTCCCAGGGGCAGCAGACGGCAAGCTCTGCCTACGGCGGAAGCTACAGTTACCCGCCCAGCTCACTAGGGGGCACTCTGGTGGACGGACAGACGGGGTTCCACAGCGACACCTTGAACAAGGCGCCCGGGATGAACAGTTTGGAGCAAGGCATGGTGGGGCTGAAGATCGGGGGCGACGTGGGCGGCTCGGCCATCAAGGCTGTGGGCTCCGTCATCGGGGGCTCGGTGCTGGGTAACGGGGGTCACACCGTCGGCCTGCCGCCGCCCAAACCCACGTCCTGGGCATCTGTGGCCAGCAGGCCCGCCAAGCTCCAGCTCAAGACCAAGGTGAAGCCGGTTGGAGTCCTGCCCCCAGGGGCCATCAAGCACAGCATGGACATCGGCACCTGGGACAGCAAGGGGCTGATCAACAAGGTGGTCCCGCCCATCCAGCCGGGCCCCCACCCTGTGCAGCAGTCCCCCCAGTCCATGGTGCCTCCTCTGGCCATGCCCCCCACTGCCTTGCCCCCCACTCAGCTACCCCTGCAGTCTTACCACAGCCAGGGCCTGCCCCCGCAAGCCCGCTGGGTGGCCCCCCGCAAACGCAACCTGGCATATGCCCAGGCCGGCAGCACCGAGAGCAGCAGCTCCTCCAGCGGCAGCAACGGCGGCCCCGTCCCCGGGGGCCTGGGGCCCGGCGGGGACCCCCACCCAGTGCTGGAGAAGCTGAGGGCCACCCACAGCTACAATCCGAAGGACTTCGACTGGAACCTGAAGATGGGCCGCGTGTTCATCATCAAGAGCTACTCGGAGGACGACATCCACCGTTCCATCAAGTACTCCATCTGGTGCAGCACGGAGCACGGCAACAAGCGTCTGGACGGCGCCTACCGCTCGCTGGGCGCCAAGGGGCCGCTCTACCTGCTCTTCAGCGTCAACGGCAGCGGGCACTTCTGCGGCGTGGCCGAGATGCGCTCGCCCGTGGACTACGGCACCAGCGCCGGCGTGTGGGCGCAGGACAAGTGGAAGGGCAAGTTCGACGTCAGCTGGGTGTTCGTCAAGGACGTGCCCAACAGCCAGCTGCGGCACATCCGGCTGGAGAACAACGAGAACAAGCCGGTGACCAACTCGCGGGACACACAGGAGGTGCCGCTGGAGAAGGCCAAGCAGGTGCTGAAGATCATCGCCACCTACAAGCACACCACCTCCATCTTTGATGACTTTTCTCACTACGAGAAGCGGCAGGAGGAGGAGGGGGTGGTGCGCAAGGTAACTACACTTCCCATGAAGCCTCAGCAGTAGGTCTCACTTTAACAAATCTCCTGCCTTTCAACTTCTTGCACACAGTCTGCAATAACTGCAACCCCACCCCCATGTGGTCACATCACTTATAATAAAGACCTCTTCCCACAACTCGTATTATTTAACTTGAGTTAAAGGTGCTCTTTTATTTTTATTATATTTAGGTTTTTTTTTTTTTTAATATTTCAGCAAGGTTGGATTCATTGGGGGGGGGGGGATTATTGTATGTTCTGACACCTTTATACCAGGATCCTGGGGGAGCCTGTTCCAGGCCGCAAAGGGCAGTGTTTCCCAACCCAGTCCCTAGGGACCCTCGGACAGTGCACGTTTTTGTTGTCGCACAACTCGCAACGCACTCATGCCAGGTATTCGGTGTTCTTGATTGGCTGGGAGCTGGGAGGGAGCAAAAAAATGGACTGTCTGAGGGTCCCTAAGGACTGCGTTGGAAATAACTGGCATATGGCCCCAGTCAGGGCACACTCATGTACAGTCCAGTGACACTCGGTTAGCTCTGCTTCACATTTTTTGATTGGGGGTGTAAAGCTGTGTGAAATGGGGAGGGTACGCCAACTCACCCGTACAGACAGGGGGTGTGAGGATGCAGTATGGCCAAAAAGATTGTTATATGTAGAGTCTAACATGGCACTAAACAGCTATGGTTCTGTCCACGTCCCCTTTGAGAAAACTCCTAAGTCAATTTCTGCCCCTTGTCTGGCACTGTCTGAACAAGTCCGTCCCAGGAGCTCCGATAAATTTAAGTTAATTCACTGATTAAATAAATTTCAATCCAGAGCTGAACAGAACTTAGGATAGATTCACATTCTGGCGCTCGGCTTTTTGTCTGATAGTCCCAATTTTCACCGCTTTTAACGGAGTTATGCAGTGTAAATGTGATGGACAACGGCGGTTTCAGAATTAGCGTGGTTCCGGTCGTTCGGGGGTTGTAGTGCGCTGGAGAAATGTTTTTAAAAACCCGTTCACATTTTGTTCTCTGGCTTTTTTTCTATAGTCACTTAAATATCGCTGCTGGCGAGGGTACCCCAGCGCCACCTTACGTCGTCGTTTTTTTTTGAGCTGGGAGGGGGGGGCACATTAAAAATGCCTGTGAAATGTTATTTCTCGTCACCCCCGAGCCCGCTCCCCGTTCAGGACCAGCAGCGTCGGGATCGGAATCGGTGCCGCGCTCGTTGCGTTGGCCGGAAGCGCGCAGCGCGTCCCTGCGCTCGGCTTTTCGTTACTGCTTACCGAAAACAAGGCTCTTCGCAGAGTCAAGTGCATTTTCTCCGCACAAAACTTCATACAGACGGTGCCGTTAGATGTAATTTATATACTGTAAACTCGCGCGATCCTTAAGGATCCGAGGCCTTACGGACCTTGTAGTACGGAGTGCTGTCAGAATTACAATAGCTCGTGTACCCGGAGTGAGTGAAAATGCAGTAAATCTGCAGCCAACCTTGTTGAAAGTCTCTGAGAACCGCTCGTGGAGGACAATGATAAAAATGGCGTTTTCACGACCCCCTCCCACCCCGTGCTCATCTCCCAGCCATGCCAAAATCACGTCAAGCAATAGAAGACTGTATTGCTGACCAGAATAATGGTTACACTAGGACTTCTGTTCAGTTTTTAAAACGAGTAATTTTTATATTTTTTTTCTTTTTTGTCAATATTTAATAAAATTTTGTTTGAATGAGCTCTCTGCTCCTGGTTCCTCTCTTCTGCAGGGATAATGAGTGTATGTGTATGTTGGCTGCAGTATTTTACCCTGTTTATCTGACTGTATGTGTTACCCCGCCCGCCGTCCTTTCTCTAATTAAATCAGGACCCAATGGAAGCAGACATTTTTCAAATGTATATTTTGTTCAAAATTACGTGTACTATCCTTACTGTCCACTGGGTGGTGTAGTTTCCTTTTAGGGGGTTTGCGGTGCCTTACGGCTGAGGATCCCAGGGGCAATGATAGGCTACATGTTAACGAGACGCCGAGTCAAGAACTTTTAGTGTTTTAAAAAAAAAAAATCGAAATGTATTTTGTTGTATATTATTGTAAAAATTAAAGTATATCCAGAAACTTTCTTTTTCTTTTTGGAATAATATTGAGGGAAATAAAGCTATTCTTTGATGTCTCTAAAGGGGGATGTGCAGTCTCTCAGAGTAACAATAAAAAGGTTAGATGGACAATCACCTCTGTGGTTCTGTCCGACTCTCAATGGCAGTTCTGATGTTCCCATTAAATTACGCCATATTGTCCATGAAAAACCTATATTTGAGTATACGAGGTGATGGGGGTGTGGTGCATTTTATGCTCAATAGACGTAAATACAAATATTTTAAGACAAAAATTGTGATGTAATTGCTGCATTTGTGTGTGAATCATTTTGTCCTCAAAATACATTTTTTTGGGGGTCTTCATTTTCGGGCTTTGTTTCTTTATTTTTCTGGAAGCGTTTCCTTGGTCGCCCCCACAAAGCTTAGCTTTAATGCAGGAGCAAGTGTTCATGGGAGATGGAGTGCAAACAGAGGTTCACTTTGGTGATTTACTTTTGAAATGAAGGTTAAAAAAAAAAAAAAAGGACTGGGCGATTCATGTGGATTCTTCAGAAACAGTATTTGTAAATGCCGTTCTCATTCGGGAATGAGGGAACCTTTGACTTGTTGAATAAAAGAAACGGAAATGGAAATTAAGAAAATCGCTGGGTTTCTGCAGCGGAAACTGAAGTGATTCCCTGGCTGGTGGGCTGTAAGTGGAGCGTGTCACTTAGTAGATGTGGGCCTGTAATTCTGTTCCTGTCCTTGCATTCAGCCAGATGACAGCTGGTAATGTCATGGCCAATGAATTGGATTAATACCCTACTGGATGCACGTAACTCCCAGAGCAGGACGGTGGCCAGAGTCCTTGACCAAGGTGTTAACCTAAACGTGTTACATAAGCTCTCTAGCCATGCTAACAGCTGAGTGGTACCTTAACAACAAACACGCCCGCTTCCCAATCTGCTGGGACGGACGCTATGTCCAGCCCCAGCAGACATTTGTTCCTGCCCCGATTTCGAAATGGCCTTCGGATGATGATGTGTTCTGCCGTTCACGCAGGAGTATCTGCTTTCAGTGCCTATCAATCTGTCGGATTCATCCCGCGAAGCCCGAAGTGTTTCGTAAATTAGCCGCTCCCCTCATTTAGCCTTTTTCCTGTGTTCTCATCACCTGATTATTAGTGTGTTGTTGTGCAGATAATTTGGAGTTTGCATGGCGGTCGCCCCTTTGTTTTTACGGATGGCCCCCACCCATAGCGTTCTTCATCACATCCTAGCCTGCATGTTCCTGAGAGTCCGATGGAGGCTATCGGGGGGGGGGAGAGAGATCCTTGTCTTTGAGTGTAGAAGCATGAAATGCAGCCAAGGCCACTCACTCTGGTGGGGGAATAATAAAAAAAATGCACGTGCTGATCATTTGGTGTTTGCCACGCTTTTTGGTTTCCAAAAATATTAACGATGAAAGACCTTGGTTTAATAATAATATTGATAATAATTCATTAAACTATGATATTTTAGCCTTTTAATGAGGCCACTGTTGCTGTTAGTGGTTAAAATGCCTGTAAGGGTTGAAAAAGCATTAGATTTTCATTTTTTTCCCCCTGTTCATTTAGAAGAATTTAAGCCTTAATAAATGAAATCTATTTAGCAAACTTTGGCTTTTGGCTTTATTTCCAGTTTTTCTTCTTTTTCCTTGGATGGAGACGACAGGGAGGTTTTGGTCATGTGACCTGGCAAGCATCTGCCCTCTTTGCATTGTTCCAACAGTATTTCACTCCGTTATGTCAGGCAGTGCTGTTGACATAAAACACATTTGCTAAAATATTGTCTTCAATATCCATTTCACCAGCATATAATACTATTACTCCTCGGCTTTAATAACTGGTTTTCTGCGCTGTAATATTCAATTTTGAAGTAAATGTGTAACGTGACGTTTTTTGAGCCGATATATTAATTATGTCTAGCCTCTGACTCCATCATTATCTGTAGCCTATGCGCGTTTTAAGATCATGTTACTTTTCGTCACTTTTAAGTTATAAATTGTACCAAATACATCTCATTAATACTAATCCAATTATGACTTGTAGTATAAGAAACTGCCATTAGATGGAGCCATTCTGTTTTAAAATGCTGATTGAACACATTTACTAAAAAGTGTATAATATGTCCCTTTTGAGTAATCTTTTTTAAAGGTTTTTAATTTGTCATTCATCATATGACTTAGGCTACCTTATAAGATGTCAAACATCCTTCTTACGGAGGTGTCGACTTCCATAACGGTGACCGGAGAGCTATCCTTGGTGCTGACTTAAGTTGTCTGCGTGTAGCGATATATTTTCCTGCAATGTCTATCAAAGTTCGTTTATTATAATATGGAAAAATAAATTTGAGGAACAACAGAATGTGACGAATATATCATACAATATATAGGATCCATGGTGCATATTGTGTAAGCGATGTCATTTTGCAACAAGAGAATTTCATTTTCCGTTTGTTTCAAATCAATAAAAAATGGCATGAAAGAAATGGCTTTGGGGTAATGCATCTGAAATATGAAATCATGACATTGAGTACGTATCCGCTGGAATGTAATAGCTGACCGTGGTTTCGTGTATTATTATTTTTTGTCGGCACCTTTCATCGCAATTCATTTTCCAATCTCTCAAACAGCCTCTTCTTTGCCATAGCAGTTGTACAACGCATATCCGTTGTTGCGCGTCAGAAAATGCCAGAGTTTGCGGCCACGCCGCAATCGGTATAGGCCCGTGTCTCTGGTTATGGACGAAAATTAGCAGAAACTATAGTTATGCCTTTTCATACTAGCAATCGAACCTTGGGCCGTTAGTGAAAAGCAGAGAGCTTCTTTTACGGCCAACGCACCGTCTCTGGATTCCGTTGAAGCAACGCAGGTCTGTATATTCCGCATGTGAAACTGACAGGTAATCATGGTTCACCTAATAGATGCACGCCATATAAATTCAGGTCAAATGTTTATATGATATGAAAACATCGCAATATTTGTTACGTTATCGCATTGTAATTGATTATTTTATCCTCCAAATGGATTTTATATTAAACAAATAGGCCTAATAAGAAAAATACGTTCATGTTAAGTAATAATTAATGATTGACGTTTTAAAAAGCAGTTGTATTTCAAAGGAATTTCATAGTTTATATCCCTATGGGGCATTATTTTGAAACATGAACTAAGAATCCAGTGTAGGCCTACTCATTGCACGATTTTGGAGCTGAAAATAGACAATTCGATGGCATGATTTCAGTAACCTATGCGTCGTTTCTACCACATCGAGTTAGATTGCTGACAAGGTCTACATTTACATTAGTGCGTTGCAGTATTCAGATGCCCAGTACACCTAGGCCTGGGTAAAACCTTGGTGGTATTTTATAAAACCCAAGTACAAGAATGATTACAAGAGAAAAGCAGCTTTACATGCCATTTTCATCATTCTGTAATCAAACAGAGTAATTTAGAGTAAAAATCACCTGTTCCGCGGGATACCGTTATGTATACGCTGCAAGAACGCAAAGTGCAATCCTGGTCGACAGAGGCTGGAATAATGCAGCCCGGTGTTTTCTGGAATCAAGGTCAAAACACAATCACACTGTGAACCAAGAACATCAGCACATTCTGCGTTTGCCTGTTGGAAAACCGTCCATTTCACCTCTGGAGCCGAGGCCAAAATGATTCCATTTGATCAATCAGAAACGTTTATTTCAGGCCATTGGGTTTATTTTTGAATTTTCATGTAGGCCTAAATGAAAAGTACACATCTCGTGGAGCATATCCCTCTTTTATAATATACATCTCAGCAGTCCACTGACATGTCATTGCGATGTAACAATCATTTGTATTAAAACCTTGGTTCAAACCGCTGTTCAAGACAAAATCACACGAACAATTTAATGATATAATCACAATTTATTAAATTCACAATCTTACAAGTAATATGCAAATATGTGCGTCTGTAAAAAGGAACCGTTTCCAGGATCTGAACTGAAAATTCAACTATGTTCAGAAGAAAACGTGGGGTGCAAAACTGACCGATAGCAAAACACATAGACGCCAATAATCAATACGTCTGAATTGTCCATAAAACGTTTCCAAGGCGTATTTTGGATCAGCAAGTGACCGCACCCAAAACAGCATTAAATCACAATGTATGCTTTGAGGGGTCTGAGCTGAGAGCCACGAGTTAAATTCTGAGCGTTGAGGCGAATGTCCGCAGAAAAATGTGCTTTTTTTTCTACGAATTTTAAAACATTTTCATTTGTTATTGCAGTATTTACTGCCCCATTTTGATAACATCAAAAGCTATCCTTTTTTGAACTGAGCATTTTGGATTAATCTCAATTAATGTGGTGTACTGTTGGGTTTTTGTATAAAACACATGTCCATTTTTTCTCGTTTTATGTATATTTCGTTTTTCGTCCATTTCTTTATATTTTTTCTTTATTTTACGGCGGTAGGTGACGCGAATGCTGCTCTGTTAATAAGGTCGCCAATGAAGCATCGCCGTACCTGTGATGTTTCGTCTTGTAATGATTAAATGGTAATAATAATAATTTCTCTGCATTTCTCGGAGCTGTTTATAAGCCTTTCATGTCTGTACGCTTCGCTTGAAATTATGCTGCACGCTAACGTGCGAAAATGTAGTCTCTGCCTAGGAATATTGAAATCGATTTGCACTGGAACACAAAATTATATCAAAGAAGGATGTTCAAGTCAGGACTAATAATACGAGGTAGATCATGCTTCGAAGCTCCCTATGTGCAGACATCCTAAATTGTTACTGTTACAAGATTATTTTGTGAATATGTTCCAGTATACTGTTAATTTAAAATATTACAAATCGATATATTAATATTTGTAAAAGCCAACAATACTGCAACATAAACAATTAAGTTCTTAATTAAAGAGAGTAGTATCAGCTTCGTACTTCGATGGTACATCCTCCCTGGGCATCCATAGGTGGCGCCGATAAAACACCACAGTTTTTTGAGGATTGTAGATGTTTTTGTACTGGCCCCCTGCAATTGTGTTATCATTTAGGGTGTGCCCCACCTTCCTACCAATTCCGTTCAAGATGAGTTCAAGAATCCAGCAAGCCTGACTGGATAAATAATCCCTAGTAGACACTGAACCCAATTCAATTTAACCACCACGGATACACAAAAAAAAAACATCAAGAAAAAACTGCCGTTACTTCAGAAGTATTCCATGATCGCTGATTGCTGAATTTACATATTGAAAATAACGATCCCGCATACATCGGGATTTGGAGAAAACGCCGTGATGCATTTTGAAAACGGTCACGAATTCCAGACGCGCCGTACCCCTTAGGAACACGCTGCAAGGGAACTGCACGCAGTTTTTTCATGCACATCCTTGTGTTTTGGGTTCAACCAAAAACACCGGTAACAATATATCCGGCCATCCATCCACTTGAATACCAGATTGTCAGATTATGCTGTTGAAGGTTGTGCTGGGAAGTATAATGAGAGTGGCATGGTATTTCAGTGCGTACTCTCTCCGTTGCGCACACTGCGAATCTTGTAACTGCTAAAAAGAAAAATTTAGAAAGCATGTGTTTAATTTCTGTAGTTGTGACAAGGCAATAATGCCGCTGTATCCTAAAACTAACGGCCCACTACTATTAAACGTTCCAAAATATAACTGAGTTGATCAGTATTAAGTTGTGTTTTTCTTTGTGTTACAAAACCCAGCGACCTATTGGTTCTAAGTACTATACAAGTTTCATGTTTCCTTCTCAGTTTCCAAGTAATTTCGTTGCATTGTTTGAGACAAGGGGGAAATTATTTCTGATCATTGACCGAGTGTGTAAAGTGCTCATATAACGTCTCAGCATACCATACGAACACTACATATAAAGAATACTGAGCGACTCAGTGTGACGCAACACAAAGCACAATGACATCATTACAGAGTTTCTGACAGGCCCAACTGGGCAGTATTCCACATCGAAAGTGCACGAAATATATCTTACGGTACGTTGGTAGCACTGTCTTAATATAGAAGTGCTTCTTGTGCAAAGAGAAGCAACACAACTGTAGACATGCAATATCCATCACCATGTTTTTCTATTAAGATTTAAACTATTTATTTGTTTATTTTAGTTTCGTTGCCCGCTTGTTTCATCCGCTGCATGGTGAGAAAATCCATGCACAAGAAACAGGGCCTACTGTGTATTTAAACTGTACGACTTTTTAAAGGGCAATTTAGAATTACTATTTCCGGTTAAACGAACCAGTACAAACAGTTGAAAATAATCTTTCCAGTAATGACGTGCACCATCACAAGTGGTCCATCCTAGAGCTTCAGGTCAAATACATAGACTTTCACAAAGACAGATTTTTCTCCCTCGGTAATTTAATGTCCCGACAACACTATTGCACCGCTGACCCGTTTGATTCGAGGTGCTAATGGATCGTAATTTGAACATCTCTCTAAATATGATGTTCTTGAGATTCCTCTCTTGGCATTCACCGCGTGCCTTAATTGTATGGACATTAAATCAAGGTCCGCTGTGAACACGCAGAGTGGTAACCCTGTGTGACACTCTGCACCCCCTCCGCAACGCGACCCGCCCCCACCCCCACTCCGCGACCCCCA